CGAGAGTTTACCAAACGAGATCTTGTTCGTCCTGCGGCAACAAGGTTTGGTACGGCCTATCTTACACTTGAAAGTATGCTAGGCGTAAAAGAGCGGTTGGAGGAAATGTGTGTTTCAAAGGAATGGAATGCACACCATTTATCCAAAACACAAGAGGCAAAAGCTGTGAAACAAATAATTCTGCGTGATAAATATTTCTGGCCGAGCGTGGAGTATTCAGTCCAAACAACAAAGCCATTATTTAAAGTGTTGAGAATGGCAGATTCAGAGATGGTTCCCGGTATGGGGTTTTTATTTGGTTGTATGGATAGAGCAAAGGAAGAAATTTTAAAGAATTTAGGGCGGGACTTTGGCTCTTATAATGAGATTTGGAAAATAATTGATAAGAGGTGGGAATTACAATTGCATCGGGATTTGCACGCTGCAGCATATTACCTCAATCCTCGCTTTCAGTATGATCCGAAAATGTCTACAAATCTAGAGGTGAAGGCAGGATTATTTAGATGTATGGCTAAGCTTTTTCCAGATCCAAAGATCCAAGAAAAACTCCATTTGCAAATGGATGACTTTCGACTAAAGCGGGGATTCTTTGGACATGATGTTGCACAAAACACTGTGCATAAACGGAGTCCTGGTAAGTAAATTGCTCTTACCAAATATCATTACCAATTTTAAATAATATATATATATATATATATATATATATATATTAAATTTTTTTTATAAATAATATAGTTGATTGGTGGACCCAATATGGAGATGAGACTCCTGAACTAATGGCATGTGCGATCAGAATCTTAAGTCTTACATGTTCGTCATCTGCGTGTGAAAGAAATTGGAGCACATTTAATCAGGTATACATATCCACAAACCTACATTTTGTTTTGTGATGCATCGACTTACAAATATTTAATTTGTAGATCCATACGAAGAAGAGAAATCGCTTGCATACCAAGAATTTGAATAAAATGGTTTACGTGATGTACAACAAAAGATTGAAAAGTAAATGGATGAAGAAAGCATCATTGAAAGTTGAGGAAGATCCGTTGGTGATGGATGAAATTCCTTCAGATGATGAGTGGGTTGTTCATGAGGATGATATGATTGTCGAGAGTGATGATGTTCATGGTGATGGTCCTGAAGTTCATATTCAAGGTGATACTGCTAGTGAAACAATCACCAACCCAAGTGGCCAAGGAAGAAATAAAGGACATCCTTCAAAAAGGCGTCGCCTTGGGAAAAGAAAAGCACTATAGCTTATTGATGAAGTTGAAGAAGATGAAGAAGATGATATTATTCTTCGAGATCCTATTAGAGATGATTTTTTCATCGATTCCGAGGATGAGAATGAAGGAAATGCAACATCTTTTGATCCTAATTTCAAGCCGTTAGACACTGATGAACTTTTTTTCAATTCTTCAATTTAAGCTCATCACTTCGAGCAAAATTGTGTCTGATTCCATGTTAGACTGTTATGTTTGCGATGTATTGCTTTGACAATATACTCTTTTCATGTTTTTGGATTATTTCTGTTATACATTATGTTCTGTCTTTGGTTTTATATTATTTTGTGAATGTTTTTTCAATTTAAATTTGAGGCTTACGCCCCAAAACGCCTCAAGGCTTACGCCTTACGCCCTGAAATGAAAACGCCTCAAAACCGCAATACACCTTTTCGAACATTGATTCAAACCACACAAATAATGGAGAAATCGAACACACAACAGGGCTAGGAAAGCTTAGAACCAAATCTCAATATACCAGACACAAACCAATTGAAAATCACGAATCAATCTCAGATCTTGAACTAGAAACACAATACAATTGAATCAAACTATTAATTTAAGGTTTAGAGTACGTCACCCTCGAAGATCCGTTCAAAATCAAGCTCGGTTGTTCTTGGTTTGTTGCGATTAACCGATGGAAAACTATCCCAGGGCGTGCTTTCTCCGAGTGGTGGGGTGCGTCTCTTGCGACTCGCCGGTTAAACGCCCGTAAACGCGGGCGATGGAGGCGTTTAACCGGCGAGGAAACCCTCGCTCTCGCTCTCCTCTCTCTCTGCTGTTTTCTCTCGTAAAAAGTTACGGTCAAAATGAATGAATTTTTTGGTCCCTCTTGCTCCCCTTTATTTTTATCTTTAAATTAGTCTCAAACTCAAAAAAGTGACTTTGGGGAATAACATTTATTCAAATAATCTAAATTGAATAAAAAACATTAGATTATGTTTTAATATATATATTTTATATGACTGTGTTTTGGGGAATAACATTTATTTATTTTAAAAATATATTTCCTTCCTCTATTAAAATTACTTACACTTTTTCTATTTTTCCAGATCCCATGAAATTCTTTATACTTACTTTATTTCCTATTTAGGTAAAGAATATGTGTCTACGAACAATTCTCAATAATTTAAACAAATTTAGTTTTAACCACATATTCTGTATTTTTTACTCTCTTTTAACAACTCTCTTAAGATTTGTGACATCAAAGTGTCACCAATTTTATAGGACAGAAAGAGTACACTATTATTTTGTACTCATGTTTTTATTCAAATAAATCAGTCATCCAATCTTTTTAATAAGTTTTAATTACATTTTTAGTTTTTTTTAAGATTTCAAATGAATTTTTTTTTGTTTCATTTTTACTTTCAATTTATTTTAAATTCATTTTTGTCTAATTTGAAAAAAGTAAACTAAATTATACCTCGTAATACTCAGTATGTAATTTATATAATAGTGTATTTGTGTATATGTGATAATAATTATTTATTTAAATATGTATACAATTAATTTGCAGCCAAACAACTAAAAAAGTCAAATTAGTAGAATTATTTACATTCAAATTTATTTAATCACAATTTAAAATTTACATATGCATCAAAAATAGTAACATATAAGTTTGAAATACAATAATTCTGAAATACATGTAGTCAAAATTATAACATTACAAGTAAAAAATATGTAGTAAAAAAATGTTATTTTAGCAACAGAATTAAAGCAACTGATTCGGTCGTTGCAATGGTTGAATAAGTTGTTGCGGATAGTTTGCAACAGAAAATCTGTAGCAAATATCTGTTGCAGATCATTCCCAGAAAAAGGCGCCAACCTCTCGCCAAAATAGCAACAGATATTTGTACTTTCCGTTGCAAAAAAATCTATTGTGAAATAATTCTGTTGCAAACAAAAATTCCGTTGCAATTCTGCAACAGAAATTTGTCTGTTGTAATGTTTTCGTTGCAAATTTGATATTTTCTTGTAGTGAATTGGAACAGAAGATGTACTATTTTTGTTTCATTTTATTTTGTTTTGTTTGTTCGTTGTTTTTATTTATGTCATACTCGATCGTAATAACATGATTTAACTTTATTCTTAGTTTATGGTGCTTCTAAACATTATTGGTTGATTTAGTTTATGGTTTTTCACAAAATTGATGGTTCATACCATCTATATCCTCTGCGTAGGCTCCCTCACCCCAGTCTGACCTGAACTCCCATGCCACCCCTTGTATTTCAAAATGTACTTGATTGTGAGATTAAATATTTTAACCTCAGTCAACTAAATTTGATATACTCTTAATTTGATATACTCCGTAGATAATTGAAGAAGAGGACGGGATGAGTCTAAATTTCATCGAGGGTTAGAGCATACTCTATTCAATTTCTTTTTATACAAATCAAATCATATAAAAAATAAATTTAAATATAAACATAATTAAATTATACTCCGGTATTAGATGGACCAGATCAAAAGTTATTTTGACATCATAACCAATGGCAACCAATGGTGAATAGACCACTGGCATAGTACAAAAAACTGATAAATACGGCATTCCGGGTCAACCGATACCCTCTTTAAAAGCTGTACCTCTTTCTCAAGCGGACTCCTTCAGCTCTCTTGCTGAAAAACCCTAGTCGGATTCAACCATGGCTGCTGGCATGTATGGTTACCAAGAAGATGGCTCGGCACCGCCACCAAGGGACGGCGGTAGCGCAGGCGGGGGAGGATTTGCAGGCTCTGGTGCCGGAGGATACGGGTCAAATGGTCGCGGATCATATGCTGGATCTGGAAGCGGAGATTATGGATCTGGTGGTGGTGGAGAATATGGATCTTCTGCAGGTCGAGGATACGGATCTAATAGCGGCGGAGGTGGTTATGGCGGAAGCGGTGGGGGAAGTGGTTACGGAGGAAGAGGCGGGGGAGGTGGTTATGGAGGGAGCAGCGGGGGAGGTGGTTATGGAGGGAGCAGCGGGGGAGGTGGTTACGGAGGGAGCAGCGGGGGAGGTGGTTATGGAGGGAGCAGCGGGGGAGGTGGTGGAGGTGGTGGTGGTTATGGAGGAGGTGGAGGCTATGGTGGTAATCAACAGAATCGAGGTGATTAATCTCGATTGTTATTGAAATAATTATTACTGCTGGCCTCCTTACACATGATGTTGTGATATTTATCTATTTCCTTTTTGAACAGGTGGTGGAGGATATCAAAGAGGAGATCGTGGAGGAAGTGGAAGAGGAGGGGGTGGAAGAGGCAGTGGTCCTGGTGGTAGCGATTGGCGATGCCCCAACCCGAGGTAATAATTGTCTCCCAGCAGATCTTAATTTCTCTTTTAAGTTCATTGATTTTCGCTACTTCATCTTTTAATTCTTGACTGTATTGTCACATAAACATTGATTTGTTCATGCAAGCATTCATACTCTTCTTTTATTTCGTGAAATTCAATTTCGTTGTCTTGTAACAATTCCATAGAAGTCTATTGTTATGTCCTAGCTCAAGGGAAGAATACTGTCAAAATGTTTCCTTTTTCCTCCTGCTAGAAAATTTCTGTTTTTTTCAAAGAAAAGTTTTGGCAACTAATTTGGGTGTTTTTTGTCACCGGTGAATGCTATTCTAAGTTACATTTTCTGTGGAATGGTATTAATCACGACATGTGTGGCTCTGTAGTTGTGGAAATGTGAACTTTGCTAGAAGAGTTGAATGTAACAAATGTGGTGAGCGTGCTCCTGCTGGTAGTAATGATCGTGGTGGCAGAGAGGGTAACAATTATAACACGGGCGGGGGTGGCTCATATGGTAATAATAGAGGTGGAAGTGGTAGGAATTTTGATAGTGGAAGTGGCAGAGGTGGTAGAAGCAATTCCTATGGTGATAATCAGGGAAGAGATAGCAGTGGTTATGGTCAAGGTCCTCCTCAATCATATGATAACAATTACCCCCCACCTTCAAGTGGTTATGGTGGAAAGAATAATTATCCACCTGATACAGCTCCTCCTGCAAATTATGGAAGCGGACCAACTTCATATCCTCCATCATCATATGGCGCACCTGCTGGTTATGGTGGCAATACTCCAGAAGATGCCCGAGGTGGGGGAAGGACGGGCCCTCCTGCTAGGCATGATGGTGGGTATAACGATGGTGCATTTGGTAGTTCTGATGCTCCTCAAAATGTCAAGCAATGTGATGAAAATTGTGGTGACTCGTGTGACAATGCAAGAATCTATATATCAAATTTGCCTCCTGATGTGACTATTGACGAACTTAGAGATCTTTTTGGAAGCATTGGACAAGTAATATGCGTATTTCCTTTGGCTATGACTGTACATTATACTTTCCCCAATTTTGTCAAGTTGCAGTATTTCTTACACATAGCATGCAATAACATCATTTAGCCTAACAGGTCTTCGTTGCATTTTTTTGAGGCCCAGAAAATTTGCTGACGAAATTGAAAATTTTATTTCTACTGTTCGCAGCATTCAATCATTATTGGTGTGGTTATTGGTTTTAGCATATATTCTCTGAATTGAATTGGATTTTTTTCACAACTAGGTTGCAAGAATTAAGCAAAAGCGAGGCTACAAGGACCAGTGGCCTTGGAGTATAAAATTGTACACAGATGAGCAAGGAAATAATAAAGGTGATGCAGTTCTAACCTATGAAGATCCTAGCGCAGCCCACTCTGCTGGTGGCTTCTACAACAGTACAGTCAAATCCTGGATCTATGAATATTAATATAAACTTCCTTTGCTTGTGTAACTTACTAGAATATGCTATTTTTGTCAGACCACATGCTTAGAGGTTATAAAATAAGTGTTTCTATGGCTGAGAAGTCTGCTCCAAAACCTGCTTCTGCTTATGGGAACAGGTAATTGTTTTGTCACACCATATCTATGTCTGTGTATGGAATTTTAGATAATGCTGCCTCTATGAATGAGTCTCAGCCACTTTTCGAGATTTTTCAGTTACATCTTTGCATCTTCATAGATGTGAATATCTTGATGATGTATGCAATAATTTTTTATTAGTCAATGGATTTTTTCTAACCTATTTGTATCTCATGTCTGCACTGAATGCTCATACAACTAAGCTCTTAAATATCTAAAATGAGAGTCAAGGCTTAAGCCCTAAGAGAAGTTAATGTGTATCACCCAAAACCTCATATAAACTATACTCTAGTGCACATCAAATTCAGATACCCCATTCAAGTAAGGTAAAAAATCTTAAATATGATTTGATGACAGGTGTCACTATAAGTTATAACAACACTAATTGCATGATGGAGGCATTTAGCTCTAAACCTCTTATAATTATTAAACACTTTGTATTTAAGTTGGTTGTTCAACACAGCCAATGATGGATTCTCTACATAGTCTCAGCTATGAAATTGGACTACTAAAATTTTTGTCAAGCATAAAATGGAGCTTCGTAGTACAGAGTAGAAGTTTAGAAAAGAAAGCAGTATACTAGAGAACAAAGGAAATATTAAAATTTCTAGGATTTTAGTTGGAAATCGTAGTTAAAGTATCCTTATTTTTCTAAAAATGAGAACGACCACATTAAAAAAAGGGTTTTGTGAGCCTAAAGGCATTAGCTTATTGAAACTATGCTTGCAATGATATCAATCATTCTTTATTAGTGTCTGGGATAATTGCATTTTTTAAAGGTGGGTATCAAGATAATTTGATTTTATAAATTATATTGTTCATCTTATACCAGCGTTTGCTTTTGAGATATCATAGTTGCATGTCGTTTGCAGGGGTGGTGGTAGAGGTGGTTACGGTGGTGGTGATAGACGGAAAGACATCTACAGGGATGGTGGAGGCTCTGGTCCAGGAAGGAACTCTTCTTTTGGTGGAAACAGAGCACACCCGTATTAAGTTGCTTTCAAGAATGTTATGTACTAAATTTGTGATGGGAGAGTTTTTCTTTAATTCGAGTCTCTTAAAATGGTGACTAAAAAGGTAGGCTGTCTCAGTTCTGAGCAATACCCTTCTTTTGGTTATTGCTACATGGTGGGGAGTTCTATTTCCAGTTAAAACTTGATTAATATGAACTATGTGAATGTTTTTTTATAGAGGGCGAATGGATATTTCTCGCATTGCTGCTAAGTTGAAATGTTCAGGTGAGTGTTGCTTTGAACATTGTTTCCTCTAAGACTAGTTTTAATATTGGTGCTTTGTACTATTCCCTCAGCCCCTCTAGCTTCTTCCATGCTCCAAGCATTATTCACTTTCTTATTTTCTTTGATTATTTGATAAACTTAAATAGTCTTTGTCATCACTTGTTTTGTAGATCTTTTGATTTAGTTTTTAAACATATATATTCAAGTAAATTTTATTTTGAAATTTCGAACCAATTTCCATATAAAATGAATTTAAAATAATTTCAGTCAAACATCGTAATGCGAACTGGAAAGAACGTAGAGGGACGGTGAGAGTAGTAATTATACCGAGTTTTGCCCTCTACAGGTCTTCCATGTGAGCTTTTGATAACCATATTTGCTGTTTGTTTTTTACTTTATCATATGCTGACCATGTCTGCCCTTTCCTATTGACTTGTTTTGTTGGGGGATTTCAGTGGGGAGGGTATGATGGCTTTGTGTTCGCTCTTGTCTACAGTTATTTCCATTTTGCTGTTTTTTACACGTTTATTACTGAAGTGAAGTGTGTAGGGCTTGTTTGGTTGGGGAATTTTGGAGGGGAGGGGTGGAAGGAGAGAGTGTTCATGTACTCTATCTGTCCAGACTATGATGATATGTGTTGGTAACTTTCAATTTTATGGTGGGTCTTGCAAAAAAAATCCAATTGAAAAGATACGAATGCTATAAGATTTGTTGTAAAAATAGTATTTTGAAGACTAATCCCACTCAATTTTAAAATATCTTAGGAGCATTTTTGAAATATTTATATATGTACAAATATATTTTCTCTGTTTGGTATTTGATTTTTTCAGCCTTTAATGCAATATTTTGATGATTGATGCAATATATGGTATTTCGAAATTACATTTCAAAATTGGTCTATTAATATTAAGTTTATTTCATATTTCACCACCCATGGTTGAAGTTCAAAAACGTAACCTCCAAAAGTCCAATGGGAAAATAGTTGGATTATTACTCCGTAATAATTAAAATGTTGTATTGGAGAGATTGAAAGTCATATATGCAATCTAAATGTGGACACATGCAATAATATATCTTTATTAGAACTTTGCATCAATCCCAAACCATTTAGCATTTTAGGGAATGTTTAGAAAGATGACAATCCTTGGAGGAGTCTTGTTGTGATTAGCCTTATCTTTGAAAAAAATGACTTGTATTTTAGTTACTATACTCAATACACCATTTTATATTTCTAGCATCTTTTCCTTTTTAGGTTCCAAAATATAATTCTCTCATTTATTGTCCATTTCTTTGAAGTCCTAATTTAAAAAATACTCCGTAGTAACTATAGAGGGTTTTAAGGTCGGGCAAGAAGCGGGCGTGAACCGCTTAATGTACTTTGTCCAACTATTTTACGCAACATATTGAAAGATGCAAATAAATTTGCCACTACGAACTATTTTGGGATTTGCCTGTGGCTTGTTTGGGGATAGTTGAAATGTGAGTGTTCAAGATCACTTGAATGTTTGTTTGTCATGCATGCTAGAGAATGATGGATCTTTTTGATGTTTGGTTGGATGTTTGAGAATTGGTTATTTCTGTTTGGTTCATTTCTGGGAAATTAAGCAAAATTAGAGAAAAACCATAGGAGGGAAGATGTCATGACAATGATGAGGATCAAAAAGAAGAAAAAGAAAGGATGGTTACCATTTTTGGCAAGAGAACAATGGCGATGGAGGGATATTGAAGAGGAAGTTGGGGAGAGAGATTTGTTGGAGAAATGGCGAAGGAGGACGCGATGACAAAAGGAGGATGTATCATCGGGCAGGGAGTATCTTCGTAAATGTCTTCTGGATTTCAAATGGAGAGAACAATTATCGGATTTCAGCCCACATTTTCTATTGATCGGCGATATTGTTTTCCATGTCTAGTGGTGCAATTTGTTGTATGCTTGCTTTCTATTTCGATGTATAAGACAATCAAAATAAAGCCAAGATCTTCAAACTTGTTGAAGGATGAACTCTAACAAATTTATAGTTCTTTTTTTAAAAAATACCTTGTCTCATTTTATAGGATCTGTTTTGATTGACAATCTTTGATTGAAATTATTTTCATTCAATTTATTAGATAATAGCGGTGGAATTCAAAAATATCATGCTCTGTTTTAAATTAAGTTATTTGTTTACTATTCATATGGTTAAATTCTACTTACTTTATATTCTTTTGTTACATAAATTAACATAATCATTTCACCTCTATAGAGTTTTTGGTGTATTCTTTTAATATGTAAATTTTAATAATTATTTTTTAAATTTTGCTCCATTTCTTAAATAAGTTGTATTGAGAATAATTTCAGTTATTCGATTCAAATTGGGATGAATGGAGTAAAAAATTACATAAAAAATTCTACAAAATAAGTGATGAAATGATTATTTATTTTATTAAATAACTAATAAAAGTAGATAAAAAATGAGTAAAATTTGATCCCGTCAGTAATGTATATCAGTGTATGTCTTTTATTATTATTATTACTATTATTATTATTATTATTATTATTATTATTATTAAACTATATAGAGAGAAATTGGAGGTGATATATTAATGTCCGGAAAAACAAAGTACGGAGTATAACTTTAGTAGTGTTAAATTTGGAAATGTAACAACTATAAAAAATTTAAAGGGACAAAATGTACTATTAAAAATAGTACTGTAAAAAAAATCCATCAAAATTTTGTTAGGATGAATTCCCGTTTTTTCATTTTTTACAGAAACGAAAAAAGCAACTCATTAACCCAAAAAGGTTAAAAAGCAACTCAGTAACCCAAAAAAGGTAAAAAAGGTTGAAAAGCAAGTCAAGCTCCTCTGCATACTCTTGATAACACCCTCTACCGCTAGGTATATAAACTCCCAGGGAGGAAAAGCTTGTTTCTCAGTTCAATTGACTTCTCATGTCTGGACGGAATTATGCACCGCCCGAGGCATTTACGCTCCGCCGCTCCGGAGATCATCGGGGCGTCCACCGCTTCCCGCCACCCGAATCGCGACGCCGACTTCCTGCCGCCGTATTGGAGGACCGTATCGCCGATCAGCACCACCAAATCCAAGGCCTCATCCTCGAGAACCAGCGATTCGCCACCGCGCACGTCGCCCTCAAGCGGCAGCTTGCCGATGTCCAGCAGGACCTCCAGCACCTGACCGCTAGCGCATCCACCATCAAGGCGGAGTGCGATGTGGAGGTGCGCCATGTCTATGAGAATTCAATTCGAACGAATGCCGAGATCCGCGGGATGGAGGGAGTCGGTGCCGAGCTGGCGCAGGTGAATGATGATATTGGGAAAATGAGTGTCGACCGGGAAGAGCTTTGCGCAAAATTGAAGGAGGTTGAAGATGAGCTCGCTAAGCTTGAGCCGGAATTGAAGCAGGTCAAGGAGATTAAAGGTGGCATTGCTACAATGCAGAAGGAGGTCCAAAAAGGAAGGTATTTCAGTAGTATATCTACACATTGACAATAGACCTGTTTGGTAATAGCGTTAGAGATTAGCTTTAGCGTTTTGAAAAGGCTATCTACGGGCAGCGTTTAGTGTTAGCATTTTCAAAGAAATCTGCACCATTAAAATTTTATCCAAAATGCTAACGCTCATGTCTGACGCTATTCCCAAACATGCCCAATGTGACATGATTGCATTTTGGAATGGTAAGGTTAACACTAAAACTGAAACACTACATACATTGACTGATCTAGGTCTTGCCTAACAATCATATTTGACTGTAAAGCTCAGTTCTTGACACTTAACAATCATTCATGTGAGTCTGCTCAATAATTAAATTAATACAATATACTCTCTCGGTCTCCAAATTAGAGTTACTGAAATTATCTATTTAAAAATTTGATATAAATATAAAAAATAAAACTTTTTAAAACTATGTCAAAGTTCTGGTGATACTCAAATAGTTAAATGTAACTTTTATTTGGGGACAAATGAAGTATTTTTCTTGTGTGGTACGTGAGATGTTCAATGTCATCTTTGGTAAACCCTTGTTCTGTCTAAGAATTTGCCCTGTATTTGGGAAAACAAATTAAAGAATGTGTTTTGTTGTAGAAAAATCGTGTTTTGAAAATGTACTTTTTGTTTTGAAATTAATGTAGTTTCAAAATAAAGTTTTAATTGAGTGTTTGGATAGTTTGTTTGATAAAATGGTATTTGAAAAATGTTCGATTAATGAGTTGTTTGCATAAGTGTTTTCTACAAAATGCAAAGCAAAAATCAAGAAACTGCAACTTCAGTGTTTTGAGTTTTATCAAATGCTCCCAAATGCTTTGACTAGTAGCTACATACCAAGTGAAGCACCTCTTTTATTAGGTCATGTAGTGTTACAATAGTTTCTAGCTTTACCAAGCTACCTTCTTGATTTGATTTTGTAACCACCTCCAATTTTGTAAAACACAAAAAATTTGTCTTCGCTACCTGGACAAGGGCAGGGCTGCTGTTGAGTATGAAAAGAAGATGCAAATTATTAATCATGAAAAGAGCCAGATAATGGAGAAAAATATCAAGTCTATGAGTAGTGAAATTGAAAAGTTGCGTACTGAACTAGCCGATGCGGAGAACAGGGCAAGGGCAGTTGCTGCTCTTGCAACACCAAGTATGCAGACAAATACTTATGTTCCCTTCCCTCTTGCTGCTCACCATGTAGAAGTTGTTGATCTCTCTATTTCTTCAGGCCCAGCATATCCAACAGGTTATGGAGCTCCTGCAATTGGTTATGGTGGAAACATGTATCCCAACCCCTATGCTTTACAGCAGGTTCGTGTTCACATCATTGTGATATGTTCTAAAATGATTTTTTCGTTTTGACACCAATGCTTTTGTCATGGTCTGAATCAGTTGACCTGATTATATATGATGGAATTAAAATACTACACAAGTATTTACTGAATCCAACATTTGAATCTTAAGAAAACATGTGTTTGAGTTAAGCAGACTTCTTTTAGTAGCACTAAAATCATACAGGCTAAGAGTGCCACAAGTTTGAATTGGATTCAGAATTTCAGATTGGGCTTGCTGCGTTGCCTTATCTCTTTATTAGTTCATCATTAGTCATCTTCATTAGTAACAGAGTACTCTGTAGTAGTATTTATTTTTGCATTAGTCCAGGAGTCCTTTTGGTGTATCGGCTCTTTATTAGTTTCATATTCGTTACTTCGTAATTCATTTCCTAGTCAGACAGTTAGGCTTTGTGTTCTCTTTCCATAACAGGGAGTTTTTGGATTGGATCTCAAAAAAACCCTAGCTTAGGGTCTTTGGAATCCCAACTTAAACCCTAAATGCATACAGTTTCTTTCCATACACTTCACTAAACCCACAGTAGCTGAAGCTAAATCTTGGTCCAACTTTAGTTTTTTGTCTGTCCCTATTTTTTTTTAACCAAGTGCTAATTTATTAATCTCACAAACATCCTATAAGTACATCAAAGCAAAAGCAATGCTCAGTATCAACTACAAAACTGCCAAATAAACTGCTATCAGAGCCTGTCTCCTCGATTTAGTGTTCCAATACAGCACTAGGAGAACCACACCTCAAAAGCTAGCTATTAAGATGGGAGAATCTCAGGCTACCTCACAAGACCCTATTTGACCGGTGTGGGATAGCATCAGCCTGTAGCATTCGACCCCCTTAAGGACCAACGTCCTCGTTGGTCACGACTGGATTTTACCATGCCACCACTCCGTAGGCCACCACTTCGAGTTTTCTCTAATACCACAGATACACCACTATGGAAAACCACACCTCAAAACCTAGCTATTACGGTGGGAGAATCCCAGGCTATATCAGCCCCTCACCAGACCCCCCTTTGACGGATGTGGGATAGCAGCAGTCCTTAACATGTTCTCGAGTTTAATTGCAAATTGCAATCAACTTTACAGAAGCTCTTGTTATGTTTTGCCCTATCCAACTGGAGATGTTTTTGTGGACTGCTACAGCATAGGCGCAGGTACAGAATTGATGATCACAATCGTCATCAGCCTCCCCACACAGAATGCATAACTGGTCAATATCCATGAACTTGTTGAGCCTACTTTTAGTTTGGATTCTGTTTATGCAGATTAACCAAAGTATAAGTTGGTGCTTATGCACAGACATCTTGTTACATGCCAGTTTAGTCCAGTCTTGAACCTCTTTGTCTCCCAAAAGCATTTGTTAGGATCATAGTCTCCTCTCAAAGGCATGCCCTTGAACTCTTGAAAACTATTGATGAAAAGTATGTGAACAAAAAACATACAATTTGACCTTGTAAATAGTAATTATGTTTTTTTATTTTGGGATGGAAAGAATATTGATTTATTACAGAATACATAAGAAATATGAAGAAAATTTCCACCGCAACGACATAGATATGAGCTTCTGCCACAAATGACGCCATTTGCCCATTATCCGCTGCCCTGTTACTTTCATTGTGCACTGCCTCTGCCACTAATTTCCAGAATAAACAACGGCTACACTACTGACTTCAGGCGCTTTCACACTGACTACTCCCACTGACATCACACTGACTTCTGCCACCATTGACGTCAGCTGCTGCAACATTGATTTATCAGACTCTACTTACTCATAGGTCACCATCACCGACTAGTAATGAGACAAACAAGACTGGAGGGTAAAGATGTATTGCAAATGAAGTGATGCACACTGACTTCACAAAATTTATGCACTCTTCTACCTAAAAAAGGTAGAAGAAAATGAAAGCAATGGTTTATCCGGTGGCATGTGCTTGTCAGATTTCAGAAGATAACATAGGCGATGACGATCAAGCAGAGTTGATCCTGACAGTGACCAGTCATATGCGACAGCGACAGTCAGGTGCAAGAGAGTGGGTGTTCCAGCGATGTGTCACTCCTGAGAAGTGAGAATGGAAATTACAGCAGTGGCAGCTGGTGAGGCCATTTTGCAACTGCAATAGAGGTTTACGACTTTGGGGGAGGTTCACATTTGGGTTTTGTAATGCTTGTGTGATGGTGGTGTGAGGCGTGTGATGGCAGAGGTGTTCGTGCGAAGTAATAAATAGAGACTTGAAGAAGATAGAAGAAGAAGCTCGGGGAGAAGGGGAGTTTACAGGCTTCGGGGAAAAAGGGAGAAAGAATGAGAGATGGAGATGCAGTGATTTAACAATGGTTAGGGGCATATATTAGACCATCTGGGTCGTTCACTCCTGAAAAACGTAAAATTATTGGCCAATTGGTGGGTGTGATTGGGCCCTCTATCCCTACTATCCTTGGTGGATTCGCAGAAAACGAGAAACGCCTCATTGTAAGCAACTATTTCCAAGGAATTTGGATGAAAATGGAATTTTATTCTTCACTGTCTCCTCTTCCATTGTGCAGCATAAATTGCAAGTATTTTTCCTAATCCCCCAGGTAACACTAGATGTTTTTATTTAGTGTGTTTTTGCCTAATGGGTCTTTCAAAGCTTCTGCTAATGAGATGATCGAAAACGATCCATCCCATCTTCGGAAATTAGAAGTGCGAGAACACACAATATCTTTCCTATGGCTAGATTTTAGAGAGAATTTATCAGCTAATAGTTGCTTTCGTCGCTCACTAACTGATGATAATTTGTTCACACTCTTCAATTTCCCAAAGAAGGACCTGCTCCATAACTAGAGAAATCTGAAAGATGTTAGTCACTACAATGGCTACTGCAGATTTTCTTTTCTCGCTCACTTACAATTGGTCTGGAACAACCTTTGGGTTTGGAACCTGGAAAATGGGCGCAAATACGTTCTATTGTGTGTTCACTGATCTGGATATGGAGAATCAAATTCACTTTTTGAGGGTACTGTTCTCCCATCAAAGGCTGCTCAATGGATTAAAAATATTGTTATCGAAAAAGACTTTTCTTGGCAAAAGCTTAATTATATTAGTCATCCTTATCTATAAAAAAAAATGTGCCCCCATGGGAGGTACCATTATGATTCGTTCTGATGGTAGTGCCATTAAAAATCAGGTGATATTTCAGCGGATGGCATTGCTAGAGACTAGAGACAGACATGGCAATTATCTCCTCAGTTTCACACTGAAGCTCCTACCTGGCAGCATCATTGTTTTCGAACTTTGGGCTTTGGTACAGTCTCAATGAAGCCATAGGTCGCGAATACTGAAAATTTATTGCCAATAGTGACTGTCTTGTTACATTCAAGCTGCTTTCCTGAAAAGAACCTATCCACCATCACCCACAATCTCGTCTAATATGTGCCTGCAATGAACTGATTAAGAGTTCTATATGTGTTTTATCAATCAAAACCACTCTATCACAGATTCACAGAGAGTCCAACCAAGTTATTGATGGGCTTGCCAAAAAGTTCTGTCTTATTCAAACTGCGTTTGGCATTGTCTCTATGGATTTGCCTTCGTGGCGCATTTACATTCACTTAGTTTTCTATTTGTGATTGCTCAAGTCTATGTAGTATAAGTTTGCAATTTCCATTTGGCTCAACCCTTACAACAAAACAACCCATTAAATTCCCACAAGTGGGGTCTGGGAGGGTAGTACATGCACACAAACCTTACCCCCATCGTAATCCCAAAAGGTAAGAAGGTTTTTTCAAAAGACCCTTGTATTTAAGAAAACACAAAACACGTTCGCACCCAAAAAAAGGAGCAATATGGGCAAAACAACCACCAAAGAAGCAAATAACAAACCCTTACAAATGTTTCCCTCAACTCAACATTTAACTCCCTCAGGTAACCTGAAAACTAGTGGTGAATACGGCTCCGATACTACTTAACACATTGCGTACACCCAAGGAGCCATGAAGGTAGAACCGGAAGCTCTTGATTTAACCTGTTGTTAGTGTTAGTGTTATCAACTGGCATTTCCTTATTAACCTCTTTCCCTTACCTAAAAGCTGTTTTGCACTCTGTTTTCAGGCTTGACACTATCTAACACCAGTTACCCATCATCGTTTTCACTGTTCAGGTTCAGCCTAACGCTGCCAGTGGATATGGTGGCGGAGTACATTACAATCCATTTCCTTAGTCCTTGTGATATGCAGCAACAACCAAACATTTCATAGATGGATTCTCTGCACTCCAGACAGAATGGCTTTGGGGTAGCGCATCGCCACCGCCTTTACAGCATAGAAGAAGCAGAGTGAAGAGACTACTGTAATTGTTGCCCCCGCAAGGACGCACACAACAAGTCACAAACAAGCTAAACAAGGAATGTAAGTAGCAGATTGAGGAGGCAGCGTTGTTCTTCGTCGTCTTTTTTATTCACTGCATATCCTCGGTGTGCTTTTCTTCTAGTTCACTTCATGTTGCCGTCTTAACGTACTCTTTTAGGAACATAAGAATCATATGAAGATTGTTGTTGTTCAATTGATTCTTTATCCCTAGTCAAATTCTTTATATACACTTTCATAAAAAATAATATAGTCATGTCACTTCTTATTTTCAACCAGTATTTTGAGAAGTTTGAACGGCGGGTTGTCCGCTTCACATTATATTCTCTTATTGTTGGATTGATGAATCGTTTTTGTTCTCTGGGCTTTAGGATGGCACGACGATTAAGCAATCGAAATCTTTAACTTCCGGGGCAAGTTCAAATGCTTAATCTAGTTGTCGTCGAAGAGCTTATTGGTCGGAGAAATAGAGGTCTTCTCCCAATGTCAAGTAAATCTAAAGAAAAATCATCAAAGCCTAAGAGCATTGGAAATATCGGGCTTCAAATCGGGATTTCAGACCTTCTTTCTACCCATCAACTTTAATCTTCCTTTAACTTATACCACAGATTCATGGGAAATACCGGACTTCAAACTTTATTTTTTTAAATTTTTTAATATACATTCTAAAATTAAAATTAAAAATATTTCATTAATAACAATATAAATAAAATTTACATTATTTAAAAAAACATAAATAAAAATTACATTATTTGAAAAACCATAAAAAAAAAGTACATCAAAATAACTGGGGCTTCAAACCCATCTTTTTTTATTTTTTAATATACATTTCATAAAAGTAAATTCATAAGATGTCATTAATTAATTAATTTTAAATTAATTACGGTCTCCAAGATTACACTTTGACCGCTAATATCTATATTTATACATGGATATATTTTATAAAAATTTGATATTTGAAAACTATATTTCAAAATGAATATATTCATATTAAAGTTATATCCTAATACAATGTATTTTTTCCACATATCTTAGTTAAAGTTTAGAAACTTTGACCAAGAAAAGTCAAATGGGAAGAATATTTCCGGACGGAGGGAGTATATATATATATATATATATATATATATATTTATTTATTTATTTATTTATTTATTTATTTATTTATTTATTTATACACACACACACACACACATATACTCCGTATAAAATTTGGTTTAAATGAGAATGATGCACAGTGCGGGTTGCGATGTTAAGTTATTTTCAAATCATTTTATATAAAAATTGGTATGAAATAAAAAAAATAAAATTACATATTTAAAATCTACATAAAAAGATCTACAAAACTAGAAGTGACATGACTATATTATTTTATCAAACAAGAAACGGAAATAGGCCAACAAAATTAAAAAAAAAGATCCTGTGAATAGTGAACGAGAATTTTTTTATTGGACAAATGAACTATACATATAGTAGAAAATATCAATGTTTAAAAAAGAAGTGAAGTTAGTGAGGCACAACTGAATTGGCAAAGGCATGCAATCGATGAGTCTTCCAGGCGGCCTATAGGCTCGGGGTTGGAATTGTGGATCGGAGGCGAACCATTTGATTTGACTTCTGTGAGTGAGCTAAATTAGCCATGGCTAGAATGCTATTATCTCTGACCAGTTGAGATACATTCCGCGATTTAACTCATCCACTAATTCGAGGCAGGGACGTGGGGACCCTTAGGGTGGGGGTTTCGTTATTTTAATAAATGAAAAAAGGATGAGCTCCATCCCCGAGGATCCTCTCAGATCCGGCCGATTGATCATTGAGAGGAGGTAAACTAGACTTTGATCGTAGATTGATGGCAAAAAGTGAAGCCTGCATTTGGTACTTGCAGAGGCCATATGCTCGGCATAGTTACTTCCCAGTGCAGTTGTCAGGAATCAAACTCGTCTCTTACTCCCTTGACACTCCTTGCTTTACCAAGTGCGTGCCACCAACATATTTTTTTTTAGATAAGAAAAAAAAAGAAGAAAGGAAGGAGAAGAGAAAGAGTGTAAGAAAGGGAAATTATTGAAGGGGATCGATAGGTAGGCCACCATGATATATATATATATATACGTGTGTGTGTGTGTTGTCTTGTCCACATTAATAGTTGCCATAAAGAAACCCCGGCCTATTATTATTATATGCGTAGGTAGCACGAATGTGTAAGCACGACAATGATGCGTGCATGTGGTTCGGCCCTCATCTACCATTCCCGGCTAGCTCCTTCAATTCACAAACACACACTACATATCATAGCTAGGCTTAATGGGTATAGTACTCAATGCTTGCTTTTATGGTGAAAATCCATATCAGATTTAATTTATCATACATGAATCCGTACCCATACATTCATGCCCTGAAAAATAAAAAAAATGAAATTGGCATAGTCTGAAATTTTCATTTTGTGCCATATTTTATTATTTTAGAATAGTTTTTCAAAATTAATGATGAAATTTAAAAATATGAGGCCCTAAAATTTTAGGTGTCCTGTATGATTGACCACTTTGCACACTCTCCAGGCCACTCATGATTCATGCCTCTCTTCTCGACTTGTATTTCACCCCCCCCCCCCCTTCACAAGAACGAGTCTC